AAGCCAAAACAGTGCAAATGTGTGCAGTCCGATAGTCCAACAGAAGACAGAAGAAGTTCCTCATTTACAATCGAACAAGCAAGTCGCGTCCAGCCTCTGTAAATCCAACCATCTGGTTATTGGGTGTTTCTTCATCTGAAGAAACACCACAAGAGCACAAACCACTACCTATCTTTATCACGGGCATAACGAACATAAATGTCTTTCTCAACTATTTCGGAGCGTTAAATCTCAAAGACTTTACCTACAAAACCATAAGGAATAACCAAATTAAACTGAACTCATTGTCAATAGATACTTATAGGAAAATAACTCACCACCTAAATGATATTAAAGCCTCTTATCATGCTTACCAATTAAAGCAAGAAAGAATCGTATATATCGTATAGTTATCAGAAATTTACCCACAACAACCATTGAAGAGCTAAAAAATAATATTGAGCAACACGGACATATTGTCAGAAATTTAATTAATGCAATAAACAAAACAATAAAGAAAAGAATGCCTCTATTCTTTGTAGACTTGAAACCGAGGGGAAACAATCAAGAGATCTACAAAATATCAAATATAGTAGGAGTCTCCGTTGCTATAGAGCCACTAAGGAAAACTAATCAGATAAATAATACAATGCACTCGATGCCAGAGATATGGTCACACAAAAGGATTCCGCAACAGGCCTCACAGATGTGTGAAATGCTCAGGAGATCACGATACCACCAACTGCTCCAAAAGCAGGGAACTTCCATCCACATGCGTATTATGCAGTGGCCATCACCCAGCCAATTATAAGGGTTGCACAGTATACAAAGAAATACGAAAACGCAGGAACCAAAATGAAAATATGGAAAATCAGCCAACTCAAACAAGAAGCCCAACAAGCAACACCGCAGGAAAGAACCTATCTCAGGCAGACATTGAAATAATCGCACGCAGGTGATATACGCTTTAAGAAGAGGATCATGTCCTCCTATAAAAATGAACAACACCCCTATCTCAACTGCCAATCATGCAAGATATCTGGGGATGCACCTGGATAGAAGACTCACCTGGAAGATACACATCCAGAAGAAAAGAAAAGAATTGGGAATAAAAACCACTAATATGCATTGGTTGAAAGGTAGAACGTCCAACCTTAGTCTTGAAAAGAAGATCTTATTATATTAAACGGTATTAAAACCAATATGGAGCTATGTTAACGTTAAGACAAATAGTCAACGCGCCATGGTATGTAATTAATACCACCATCCACAACGATCTGAAAGTCTTCACTATCCGCCATGAAATAAGCCAAAAATCAACAAGATACCACACCACAATTGGAAGACATCCAAACCCACTTGCTACTCATCTATTAGATAACTCAAGAAAGCGACGACTCAAGAAAGCCCCACCGATCGACCTACGGGAAAGATTCCTTTAAATACAATCTATTATCTACGAGCGCAAAACAGAACGGCTGCTGGGTCGACTAGTGAATGTGACTATTGTGAAAAAATCTTCTTAATGCTCTAATGTAGCATTAGCAGATTGTTGATTGCAGCAAATGAAGTAAAAAAAAAACTTTTTCAAGAAATGGTTTTATTTGACAAATATTTAGGACAGTTTCGAAATTTACTTGGTACACTGTGTGAAGGAACACACTTGTGGTTGTCTCATCTACGTTTATTCTTACTCTGATCCTTTTTGGATGCGCGGTGCATCACATTACATTATGCTTGCTTGCATTAATGATACTTAATGGGGTTAACATGTCAGCAAATATTAATTAACTATTAACCAATATGTTCAATGCTTATAATATTCGTACATTAATCTACGTAATTTAGAGTTACACTACTACAGAGCAAGATTTTTAGCAGCTTGGCAGATTTGTTTGAATTATTTGATTTTTGTACTAGTCATTTAGGATTGTGGACATTTCCAAATTGCTTTCGAGGGCGTTAATGACAATAAGTTTCAAATGACTGATGTAGCATACTAACCAATAAGCGTAAAATACTAATAATAACAATAATCGATAATACAGCGAATAATAACATCAGACCG